TCCACCTCCATGGGCTCATCCAGAGGTGGATCCACCTCCATGGGCTCCACGGAGGTGGTCACAGCGCTGGCCCAGGCGCCATGCAAACGCACTCTCTGCCCCCTCCTCCGCTTGATCTTAAAGGCGGCCCCCCTCCTCCTCTTCGCTTCTGGGAAGCCAAGCTCCCTCTTCCCATTTAAAATAGGGCAAGCTTCGCCCCTCGCTCTCTTCGCTCCTGGCATGGCTGCCAGAGCTCTCAGAGCGAGTGCGTTGGCCGGGGCAGCGGTGACCAAGGTGACGGCTGTGATGCGGCGAAGGTTCTAAAATGGCAGCCGCACTGCTGGCAATGGCGTTCCACATAGCATGAGGAGGGGGCTGGAGGACAGGGCACGGGACGGCAGCTAGAAGGCACTCCCTGTGCCCAGCGGGCAGCCCTTCTCTCCGGCAAGCAAGAGGCCACAGAGGAGCCGGCCCCGAGAAAAGGGCCCTCGGCCTCCTTCATCCTCTCCCTTCTTCCACACGGGAATCTGTTGGGGCTGGGACACGCAGCACACAGCGCCATGTTCAGGGGCCTCCCCAGCCCAGCGCCAACAACAGCAGGCTCCAAAGCACACCTCGCCACGCCTGCCCCCTGGCACACACAAGCTCCGCTTTCCACGTTAGCATCCAGCGCCTCTTCTTGCGCCTCACGGCTGGGGATTCAACCATTCCCCACAATAAATACCGCCAGCTGCATTTTCATTACAATCACTCTGACTCCATTCCACATCCGAGCACAATGCTGGCACACACACGGGGCCACCCTGGCTCACCGATGCTTCGCGGAGACCCACACAACAGCATGAGCAAAGCAGGCAGAAACGTGCCGTGCTCCTGACTCATGGCAGTCTTAAAATCTCCCTCTCCCTCCCCCCCAGCCTGCTAAGGCAGCAGTTCTCCCAAGCAACAAACACAGTCACACACAACTGCAGCCCTGGCTCGTCCTGACCAGGGACGTCCAGACGAAGCACATCTTCACAAACCTTCTTCCAGCTCCGCACCCTCCGGCCAACACAGCACCCACGCGCCTTGCTCCACTGCCCGCCCGGGCTTTGCTGGCTACAACTCGGCCCTACGGGGCCTCCTCCTTCGCACACCCGAAACACCAACAAAGCTCCGCACTCGCACGGCCTTCCCTGAGAGGAAGCTGCCCCCCGACCCCGCAGCACTCGGCGGCGCCGCACGCATCGCCTCTGCGTGCCGGCACCACCGCCAGCTCCTCCCCCGAGCGCCCCTCCATGCCCCCGCACCGAGGCCCGACCCCGTTCCCAGCACACAGCCCGCTCCTCCCGGCCCCGCTCACCGGCCCGGCGCCGCCATGCCGCGCTGCCCCGGAAGTGCTCTCCGCCGGCAGGAACCACTTCCTGCCCCGGCCCTACCAACCGCCTGCGGCGTCACGTTGCTGAGGGCGGCCCGGGGCCTGGAGGAGGGGGAGGGGCAGCTGGGGGGGTCCGCTGCCGGATTCCCCTCGGGTGGCGCCGGCGGCATGCGACTTGTCTTCTTCTCCTTTTCTGCCTTTTCCCTTTTCCCCCTTTTGCTTTCCTTTGCCTTGCTTCTCTTTTCTCTTCCTTTCCTTTTCTCCTTTTCTCTTCCCCTTCACATTTCCCTTTTTCTTTCCTTTCATTTCTTACTTTCTTCCCCTCCCCTCCCCTCCCCTGCCTTCCATTTGCTTTCTGTCCACACTCAGTCTGCACATCTCCAATGGACATGCCTGGAGAAGATCACCTACGCAGACAATAAATGGCTTGTGCTGTGCTTCACTGCTTTGTGCTCTTGAAAGACTGATTTGTTTTGCCCTTTCCTAACCCCCAAGTATCAGGAGGGCCCGGCTGCCTTTGCTGCGGAGCCTTATCACCCCACAGTCTGAAGACTTGGGGGAAAAGCCCAGCAGCTCCGGAGCTGCCAAGGGAAGACTTCATGCCCTGGCCTTCAGGCGGGCAGGCAGGCAGGCAGCAGAAGGCAGTGCCGTGTAGCACGCTGGACCGAGTGCACCGTGCAGGCTCCTTCGTGGAAGGAGGAAGACACCGACGCGCCAATCCAAAATGGCAGGCAGACACTCTTGACGTGCAGCCTCTCCTCTCGTGCTGTCTGACGCAGCACCCAGGTGACACAGTGGCACAGCACCAAGGTGACACAGTGACACAGCACCCAACTCCACAGCACCCAGGTGGCACAGTGACACACACTCAGGTGACACAGCACCCAGGTGGCACAGCACCCTGGTGGCAGAATGACACAGTACCTAGGTGACGCAGCACTCAGGTGGCACAGTGACACAACACCCAGGTGATGCAGCACCCAGGTGACACAGTGGCACAACACCAAAGGTGGCACAGCACCCAGGGGGCACAGTGACACAGTACCCAGGTGATGCAGCACCCAGCTGACAAATTGGCACAGCACCCAGGTGGCACAGTGACACAGCACCAGGTGAAGCAGCACCCAGGTGGCACAGTGGCACAAAACCCAGGTGGCACAGCACTCAGCTGGCACAGTAACACAGAACCCAGGTAGCACCCTGACACAGCACCCTGGTGACAAAGCACTCAGGTGACACAGTGAAACAACACCCAGGTGATGCAGTGACACAACACCCAGGTGGCACAGTTACACAGCACACTGTTGACGCAGCACCCAGGTGACACAGTGACACAACACCCAGGTGGCAAAGTGGCACAACACCCAGGTGACGCAGCACTCAGGTGGGAAAGTGACACAGCACCCAGGTGACACAGTGACACAACACCTAGGTGGTACAGTGACACAAAAGCCAGGTGACGCAGAGCTCTGATGGCACAGTGACACAGCACCCAGGAGACGCAGCACCCACGTGGCAAAGTGGCACAACACCCAGGTGACACAGCACTCAGGTGGGAAAGTGACACAGCACCCAGGTGACACAGTGACACAGCACCCAGGTGGCACAGTGATACAACACCCAGGTGACACAGAACTCAGGTGGCACAGTGATGCAGCACCCAGGTGACGCAGCACCCAGATGACACAGTGGCACAACACCCGTATGACACAGTGACACAACACCCACGTGACGTAGCACCCTGGTGACACAGTGACACAGCACCCAGTTGATAAAGAGCCGACCGGTTCATGGCCCCGCAATTGCCAGCCCAAGCACAAGACTTTTTGACCAGCTACTGAAAGAGGCAGCACCGTGTTTAAAAAGTTGGTTTCATTTTTATTCAAAACAAAAGGCTCTGGGTTGTATTTATCAACACAGCCCAAAATGAAACCCCAGCGTCCAGGGTTTCTGCTTAGCAATGAGTCATTCAGCCTCCAGGCAGACACGAGGAGAAGCCTGACCCTGTGGCTATGTCAGCTCCCCTCTCTCCAGGCCCGGCTAGCTGTACTTCAATCTCATACTAGACCGGCCCTGGCCCTGAAGAGACACAGCCTGAAGGACCACAGCCTCTCCATCTCTTGCCATACATGAAGACCTGCCTCTGGCAAGCCCTCTTTGCTTGGAATGCAGCACAAGCCCTTCCCTTCCAGGTGCCTCAGTTCCGCTGCACTGCCCGTGACAGGGAAAGCACAGCCATGCCAGAAAACCGGACGCTGACTCAGTCCGCTGCCTTTGGTGCCATCTCCGAGGAAGCATTCCAGCTGATTCCAGCGTCCTGTGGGCCTTCTCGCTCAAGCCCTTCTCACTTCTTTTTGCTCTCCTTCTGGGCTTCCTTCCTCAGCCGAGCAGCACTTGCCTTGGCTTTCTTCACTGTCTCGCCAGACTGAGTGCCAAGACTGTGCCAGTCCGACAAGAATCAAGGCACAAACGGTCAGGGAAGCTTCACAGGTAACAAGTGGCTGACAGCTCGCTTGGGGAGCTCAAGTCACCCGCCCGGGCAGCTATGGCTGCCAGCACTGGAAACCGCCTTCCTGGCATCAGGGCACGCCAGAAACTCCACTTCTATCTCCTTCCCAAAAGTCCCATACGAACTCGAACCCAAAGCCATCTCCTGCAAGGCAGCGCCTGCACAGGGCTTGGACACTGCCTGGAAGCACACACAGCACAGCAGCAGCAGCAGCAGAGCTTGCACCCCAAGGCTCCTTGCGTGCATCAGGAACATGTGCACACGGAAAGAAGGGCAGGACAAACGACGGCACTCTCAGCAGTGCTGGGCACACCACCGTAGGCCACAGCTACAGATTGTTCCCTCCCTGCCCATTGCCCATGCCTTTCTATCAGCCTCAGAGAGCACGACTTACTGGCTTATGGCACCTGGAAACTGGCACGATTACGGCCAGCGCACAGAGCAGCTGCAAAGTGACTCCACAGAAGAGATGGTGGCGCAGCACGTTCTCCGCCAGCGTGGGCTCGGGGATCTCAGCTGGGAGAAATGCCCTTCAGCACCACACAGCAGGCAGCCTGCTGCTCTACTGCTCTCAAGGAGGCTGCTTTCTACAAGAGGGGAGAAGGAGTCGTTATTCTCTCACGCACACTGCTGTGACAGGCTGACTTAGAGCTGTTTTGAACATCTCCTTGGTCTACTGACCCAATGACAACGAAGGACACGAAACTTGCAGCTGCATCGTCTTTTACCGCCTGCCGAGGAAAAGATTCCTCAAACTTGAGCATTGCTCCGCTTGCAGGCGAGGGGAGCAGGAGCTGAAAAGGACAGGAGGACACAAAAGAAGGGCAAAGCTTAACAGAAAGCAGACCTGCTGCAGACAGTGCCACCAGCTGTGTTTGAACAGCAGTGCCTCAGCACACGCTCACAGTAAGGCACACCTACCTTGCAAGGGCCGCTCAGGAAGGTTGTGACACAGGCACCCATTGCTCAATTGCTCCCCTGAGCCCCAACTCCATTTCTCAGCCACTCACATGCCTCGATGTTCTGCAACAGAAAAGTCACAAGACGGAAATTCAATTCATCGCAGACGTCCTCAAACCTCCCTTCTCAGGGCAGTCACACTCATTTCTCTGCATGAGAACTCAGGGAGGGCTTACCGAGTGAGCAGCATTTACTGCCAGTTGGCAGCAGCAACCTATGCCTAACTCTAAACTCCTAACAGGAACCTATGCCTAACTCTAACTTCCTAGCAGTAACCTATGCCTAACTCTAACCTCCTAACAGTAACCTATGACTAACTCTACACTCCTAACAGTAACCTACACCTAATGCTAAAACTGAACTGAACACTAAAACTAAGCTAACACTAAAATCAACAACAAAGCCCAGAAGTGGCACCTAACTCCTACGGGGGGGAGATGGAACCGGGGGCCCACAGAACCGCAGAGGAGCAACAAGGTGGAGGAGGAGCAGATGTCAGCAATGCCACCCAGCTAATGCTGGGGGCGAGGGCCGTGCAGAGGGTAAGGAGCCGAGCGCCTGGACCAGCGATGGCGGAGCTGTGAGCGCACCAACACAGGGCCTGGCACAGTGGTGTGGTGCCAGGCCAGCTGTGCCGCAGGCGGATCCACCTCCATGGGCTCCTCTGGAGGCAGATCCACCTCCATGGGCTCCCCATGGTCGCTCACAGTGCTGGCCCAGGCGCGATGGAACCGGGCTCCCTTCCTCCTCTCCCTCCTCTGCCTGATGGTCATGGTGGGCCCCCTCCTCCTCTTCGGTTCTGGGGCCCCCAGCTCCCTCTTCCCATTTAAAACCACTCTCTCCTCAACTCTCACTCTCTTAGTGCTGGACATGGCTGCCACCTGCCCAGCACGCTTAGAGACGAGTGCGCCGGGTGGGGCGGCAGTGACCAAGGTGACGGCTGTGACATGGGGAAGGTTCCACAATGGCACCTGTGCTGCTGCTGGGAGGGGCGTTCCGCATAGGATGAGGAGGGGGCTGCAGGGCGTGGGACGGCAGCTAGAAGGCGCTCCCTGTGCCCAGCGGGCAGCCCTTCTCTGCGGCCAGCAACAGGGCACAGAGGAGCCGAAGCCGAGGAAAGGGCCCGCAGCCTCCTTCGCCCTTTCCCTCCTGCCATGTGGGAATCCACTTCTGGGGCTGGGCCACACAGCACAAAACGCTCAGGGCACACTCAGGGATCTCCTGAGCTCAGCGCAAACAACGGCGCGCTCCAGAGTGGAGCTGACAGCGCCTGCCTGCTGGGAGACAGAAGCCCCGGCTTCCATTTCAGCATCCAGCGTGTCTTCCTGCGGCTCGAACATTGAGCGTCTGGGCACTCAAACATTACCTACATAACTACATCCCAGCAAGTTCTCCACAAAACTTTCTGAGTCTCTGAGGGAATACGGTATAGGGAATAAGCTTCTGTGGGCAAAAGTCCACGCAAGAAGGACTTCTTACCATTCACTTCAGCTCTTCTGGAGCACGTGGTGATTCTGTCCCTTTAACTGTGAAAAATTTTGATCCCTGCAACCAAAATAAGAATCAATGGTTGCCAGCACCTAACAGAAATTTATTTGTTCTGTGGCACCGATGGATCACAACAAGGACATGTAATAAGATTCCATGCAGCAATTAAGATGAGCTCTTGGAATGAAGTGTTTGGCAATGCACTTCAGGCTGATTATGAAACTGTAAGTAACAGAACCCAAAACTCCTGATCAGGGAATTGTACCCTGTTCTCTGCACTACCCCTCCTAGTTTAAACGAGAGCCCTACCAGAAAATTTACTCAAAGCTCTTGCAACAACTAATGACTGCCATACATTCTACCAATTAACGTGGCTTGACAGTAAATTCATCACAGAGAAATTGTGCTGATTAGGGGCTGTCACCACAAACTTGAAATTACTAAAAACAATAAAAGATTCCTATCAGAAAGATATTATTAATATTTTACCACTCCACTTTTAAGTAACTCATCACTCATAAAGTGAATGAACGCTGAGCTGCTGCTGAGAAATGACATGCTTTCATATTCTGCATCTCAGTGAAATGTCCTTAGCTTTGATCACGGCTGCTGTTAATCCTGATGTTCAAGACTCTCCTTCGCAAGTCCTGGAATCATTGCCCCTCAGAGCCAAATGAATAATTCTACTTCTGAATTTTTAAGAAATCAACACGGAGCTCATTTGCCTAGACATCTCTTCCAAATTGGTAAAGACAACTTTGTATTCTAAAGGTAACAGAAAATGAAAATAAACCCAGTCAGAACTGTCTAACTTCTATTTAATGCCTATGACTTCCTCCTGGATTGCCACTCACTTGCCCATCTCTCACTGTCTTCCTCTCCAACAGCTCTGCAGCCATTTAGAGCATGAAAGAACACGGACTGAGAATGCCTCAGTGATGGTGAGGCAGCAAAACAGGTCACAGGACAGGGCCAATGAACGGATGAGTGGTGCTGCACCCCAGCCTGCCATCTAATTAGCACTCAGACAATGAAGATTTCGGAGCTTTGTCTTTGTACAAGAAAAGGAGTTGGCTTCCTTTTAGAAAAAAATATTTCCGTCACAATTTTTCTTTCCCTCCTGAAATCCTTACAGAAAAAGCAAACTCAAACCATACAGAAACAACCTTTTAAGCTTCTCTGATATCTGTTCTTCACTTTACTTACTGCCACTCAGTAGAGTGAGTACCAGAAGAGACCTCCTGACCAATGACTGATGTCCCATCCTTCCTCTACTCACCATCCTTTCTTTCTTCTTTATTCCAAACCATCAAATTTACTCTGCCTAACCGTGGAGGATTTTTGACAACGGTCTGTTGGAACAACGTGCTTCAGATAGGCAGTTTCATTGTTTGCTTTGCTATAGAGTGGACAAGTTATTACAGTGATTTAGATCAACTCAAAAGAAAACACGCATGGGGAAAAGCCTGATCTCTGCAGACCATGGGGCCTTTCTTTGTGTCTGTTATTAAAAGAAGATGATGCTGAGGTCACTCGCTCTAGGGTTTGCTATAGACATGAACAAAAAGTAAATTAAAATTAAACACACTCAATATTCATGATTTAATTAGAATCAAGTCCAATTCATAATTCTAGGGACACATTGGCATTGCTTTCCTCTACCGTTACGATGCTGCTCTCACAGGTAGGAATCCAGAGCAAATAGGAAGGATTAGACAAGGACAGGGATCATCCTCCTCTCTCTCAAAGTTCTCCAGAACAGCACGAAGAAAACTGTCCCCATTTCCATCTACAACAAATTCTTTTTACCCTGTTAGGAAGATAGGAGCAAGGGAGAAATGATAACCAGGCAGGTACTGCAACTAAAGCTCAGCCTGCCTTTTCATTTCATTCACATTTAATACCAGTTTTTAATCCAGTGACGCAGTTGCAACTATCCAGGCAAAATCATCTCTCTATCCTTGAGAAGTCCTTTAAACTACAGCTGTACCCCAGAGCCTTCTGCTGCAGACAGTTTGCATGGTATCATGAGTGGCTTCTGCAGTGGTCCAACACCACCAGCACACAACCAACCTGACACTGGTTGAGTAGAGCTTCAGACCATTTCCAAGCCACTCTTCACTTCTGTTTGTACGCTTTCCTAACGCTGTTCCCCTATGTTAATAAATGTCACAATCAGGCTTGTAGTGCCTGAGTCATTGCCCCTAGCAGGAATGTGAAACACAATCAGCTCCACAGAAAGATCCATGCAAGGCTAGAGTATCTGCATATCTGAAAACCTTTTGTCGATGCTCTGCACTGACCTCTGACTGCCTGTAAGACCATGCAGGTGAACTTCCAGCTAAAATGCCAGTCTTAAAAGGAATGACATTTTGGTACCAACAGGAGCAAATGTTGCTGGAGAGGCATGCTGTGACACAGCTGGACGCTGACAAAACCAGCCATGATGAGGAACGGAGGGGATGGCTGAAATACAGCAGGCACACTCACTGTGATGAGAGATGGCTCAGATGAGGCTGGGAGATGGACATGGGGGACAGATCACTCAGCGCAGCCTGCTCTGTTGGCTCATCTGGCTCAGCAGGGATGGCCTCCTTTCCCACAACAGCAGCAGCAGGGGTTTCCTCGACCTTGACTTCCCCAGGTGGAGCTTCTTCAGCCTCAGTCTTTCGTTTTATGGATTTCTAAGTAAACAGTGGAAAATTTGTTGAGGAGCACATGATGGTGGGGAGGGAAGAAGGGAATGGGAGCTCTGCCTGGCACTGCAGTGCTGCTTCACTCCTAGCAGACTCAGTGCCAATGGCTTTGCCAGGAAGAGGACAGCCTTACGTTACTAATGGTCATCTACAGAGCATCTTCATTCTCAGTGTCCTGCACAGAAACTGAGTCAGTCCTACATCCCTCCCTTGCCAGGAAAGAGAGTGCTAGCTTCCTGAGTTATTGAAAGCAGCAGCAGAAATGGGGGAGAAGTACTCAGTTTGCTCAGAAATGCTCTAGAAAGTGAGGGCAAAGTGAGGAGTGTCCCAAAGTATGATTTCAAACAGGATTTTTTAAAATTATCCCCTATCCCCCTAATTCCACTAGTTCTCAGACAAAAAGGTCTCTTCTCTGTTGAAAGGGTGTGGACTCTGTTTGCACATAGGCAAGTACTAACTGCATGAATTCTGACATTGAAAATCATTGAATCATAGAATGGCTCGAATTGGAAAGGAACTTAAAGACCATTCAGTTCCAATCCCCCTGCTATGGGCCACCCATTAGATCAGGATGATCAGCACCAGAGGCATCCAGAGCTTCTCCAGGCAGCCTGTTCCAGTACCTCACCACCTTCTGAGTAAAAAAAAGTCATCCCTAGTTTCTTTTAATGCTTATTGCATCCTGAGACCTCAATCACCTACAAAGCTTCCGTTTGTCGGCCATGCTTCTTCTGCAATTCTTACCCTCTAAAATTCTGGCCTATGCTTATTCTTTAGGAAGCATATCTAGTAAACATCACCAGTCCTGCAAGATGTTTGGTCCTGCAGCAAAACAGCTCCCAGCAAAAGTGCTCTTTCTGCTGGGGACAAAGCCTTGCAAACACACACACGCTAAAGGAGAGAGCTGCAAGCTGTGCTCAGCATATTGCATCTATAAAGATGGCTGACTCAGCCAGATTAAATAACCCCAGTAGATCAATTTGCCATGAACAAATTGCTCAGCATAACATGAACCTCAAAAGCTATCCAGCTGCTTTGCAGTTGATAAGATGCAGCTGGTTAGAAGGCCTTCTGTAATGAAGAGACATCTCTGAAATTCTTCAAAAGACGAAAATCTGCTTCCTGACATTTTTCAGAAACCAACAACAAAACAAAACAAAACAGAAAAACCCACCACCACACCAAAACATATCCTTTCAATTCTTTTCTCATCTATTCCTTTAGCAGGCTTATTTTTAATGAGGTATAGGGAAATCTGCCTAAGCACCTCCTTCTGGATTTGGCAAAGAATAAAGAAACATTCACTATATTACACCACACTGTGCAGAAGTCTGTCTTGTGTGATAATACCAGTTCCAAGGAATTTCACAAAGAAAAAACAGGATTGTAATGAGAAACAAAAGGCAGGTTTATCCCAGGTCAGATGGCTGATGAGTTTCCTGGGCCTTAATACTGGAAGGAACTTTCAGGCTTAAAATCAGAGGTAATGTGTTACAATGCAGATGGCACTGATGCGCTCTGAGTCATTTGCACACAAGCAGTCTTTAGGCTACTTGCCATCTGAACTACAAATACAAATACTCAGAATGCTCTCACGGTGCTCAGTGACCAAAGGCACATCAACAAACAGAATCACTCTTCTGCTCTCAGTAACGGTAGCGTTCACCCAGCAATGCTGCCACTCCATATCCTTCATTCAGGCTAACTGGATTCAGCAAGAGGAGCCCAGAAACCACCAAAGTATGATCACTTCCAACAGTATTCCCCCCCTTAAAAGATGGTACCTACTAAAATATGGAAGATAGATAAAGCTGCAGTAATATGAGAGGTATGTGTACCAACAGCACACGTGAGCACTTCCTTGCTGTGCATTGGACCAAAGCACACATTCTTGCTTCTCTTAAGTGCAATAAATAAGTAAACTGACTGTACCTTCAAAAATTAAAAGTATCTAGACATCCTGTTTTTCCTTTTTTGCAGTGCTATCCTAGTGAAAGACTTTCAGAAAGTACAGATTTACAGCTGCAATGGTATAACCACCTATTCTTTCAGGTCAAGATTTAATGAATTAGAGGATGGAAAACACCCATGTTTTTGTACAAAGGAGCAAATATTTTTGTACAAAGCAAAAAACAGTACCCTTTTTTTTACACACCATTTAGAAAGGAAGCAAAATCCACCACTTACAGAGTCTCTGTCACATTCTCATTTGATTGCACTGTAAATGCAGCGGCATCCTACCTATAGAAAATAAAAACAACACAGCAACAATATTTGGCATGGGATGTCTCCAGTAAAGACCTGATTTTTATGGCTTACTCAGGCATAACCATCAGTAGCTGAGCTGGGATGGAAAATGGACAATCTAAATAGGCATGAATATCAATATGAAAGACCTTCCTTTTTCAAAAGTGTTCCACGACTCTAAAATGTTTCAAGTTGTTCAAATAGGTGAAGAATCCTTCGCTGAATAGAAGTGAATTGCAAGGACTTTGCTTCAGGCACACTGCACTTCTGAACAGCGAATGCCAGAAGTTTATTTTGCCAGACTGCACTGCACAGGGAGTGCAGAGCTCGGAGTTCCTTACACATCCTCTGGACTCTGGGCTTTTTATTTGCACAGCACACACTGCTCAGTAATTAGAGATGTGAAGCTTCGTATGCATTAATTAGAGAAAGTGGTGGCGGCTTTGTATTTTGGCCCTTCCTTCTGAATACTTTACTAATGTAAAAGGCCTGGAGCAAAATTAATAAGCACCGAAAGACTCGTTTTCAGCCTTGCAGATGCCCAGCTGTTTTGTGTGCATATTTAAACAGTGGTGTGCAGAGCATGCTGTGGGTAAGCCAGCCTCTGAAAGGTGCTGGAATTTAAGAAGGCCCCAGATTATCTGCATTATCACTTGGGATGGGGGCCCTGGAATTTGAGAGCATAAGTGTGCACTGCACTGCTGCAGTGCCTCGAGCAGATCCTCAGCATTATCACAGCAGTAAATAAACAACTCAGATTTAACTCTCAGACTAAAACATATGTTAGGTGAAAACAACACTGCAGAAACAAATAAAGCTCATTTCATGTATAAATGCATAAATACACAGAGTCACTGAACAGGTGTGAAAGCTGTGAGGAAGCCATGCTTCACAGGATTTTGAGATTGTTAGAAAAATCCAAAAAAGAGAGCAAGAAAAATACTAATCCAGCTCTTTCATATGGAAAATAAGAAGACAGTCCTGCTAAGCTAGTGGGAGTTTTCAGCTAGGCCAATAGCGCCAGGAATATTAGCAACCTTCTAGGAACATCCAGGAAGACTTTCTGAGGGCAGACAAGTTCAGGATTCGTGTCAGCAGGACATTATAGTGCAGCTGCCCTGCAGAGCAGAGTTTTCAAAACTGTGCAGCCAGTCTTAATCTCTTCCGTTTGCGCCGCCCCGTCCTTGACGGGGTGGGTTACTGGAGCTGCAGAAACGACCGCGGGCAGAAGCGCCGAGAAACGAACGGGAAACATTTAATCGACGAACGCACAGAGCGACAGAGAGACGACCGCGTTCCCAGCTGGCTCCCATCCGAACGGCGACTGCGGATGATGGCTCGGTGCCGACGGGGTACGGACGGGCCCCCGCGCCGCCTTCCCCTGAGAGCCCGGCGTCCCCAAGGCACGGGGCGGGCGGCAGCGGCGGGGACGCGGGGCGGCAAAGCGCCAATTTCCCCGTACAGAGCCCCACGGCTCCTCCACCGCCAGCACCATCGTGCCGACCCCACGGCCACGGCCGCCATTGGCGGAGAGCCCACCCTCGGCCCCTCCTCCTCCGCACCGCCATTGGTCAGCCCGCAGAACGGGGCGGGCGCCGCTCGCGGGGTCCTTTCTGTCTGCGGTCGCGCCGTCGTTGCGTCATCACTGCACGCATCCCAGATGGCCCCGGCCCGGCTGCCCACGCTGATGCCTGTCGCCGCGCACCCGCTCCACTTCCGGGGTTCCGGGAGGAGGAGGGCGGGTAAGCGGCGGACCGCGGTGAGACCGAGCCCACGCCGCCCCGTTCCATGCGGGCCTTCCTGGATAGCGGTGAGCACGGGCCGCATCCGTGCCGCCAGGAAAGCGCTGAGGAGTGCAGCCTTGTCTCCTCTTGCACCAGGCGCTCGTGCTCACGTATTGGTTCCGGCTGTGACTTGGAAATTCCTCCACAAGTCACAGTAACTCAGCAATCGGGGCGAACGATGTGATAATAGCTTCTTAGAAACAGTCGTGATATTCCCTCCTATTCTACTTGTAATATCAGGATAATCTACGCCTGACCTGCTACAAGACCTTTCTTGTATTTTCTTCCATCTCTTTCCCTGTGGTCCAACAGCCAATGAGTTTCTGTACAAGAAGAGAAACTCTTCTCAAAAAATAGGGCAGTTCTTTTCCTGGATGCATAACCTGGGGATGGTTTAAGGTCAGAATGCTGAGGGGAGGCAGCCATTTCTCTACTTCTCTTTATCCTGTCCTTACAAGTCACCTAGCTGCAGTGTCTTGCACCCAGCACCACCCAAAAGCCCCTTCTATTCCCACCAGGGATCTAAAGGAGAGTGAGTTGGAAGGAAAAAGTCTCCTCTCTGGCCTCACACTTAGCTACACCTTTCACATGCTGCAAAATCATGGGCTTTGCTCTAGTCTGTGTGTCACTGGAAGAGAGCACCGCATTGGAAAATGAGAATCTCGGGGTGCCAGGGCTCCGAAGAATGTGGCCACAACATCTGTCAGAGCCAAGGGGCTGTGGGAGAATCCTTATCATCCCTCTTCAAGGAGATGGCACCGTCTTGCTCCCATTATGAGAGCAAGAGGAGGTTCTAGTCTATGTTCACCTGATGACGAGAATCATACACAAAGGGTAAATGTCAGCCCGTCCAGTTTATTACGAGTGCTGGTCACTGGGGGAGACGGGGAAGGGAAGATAGGAAATAGAAAAGATCAGAGGATGAAGACCTTGGGATGCGGTCAGAAATGAAGGTAGAATCAGATGAGGAGTCATGGAGTTACGGGTCACGTGGGATTAGGTGGTGGGGGTGAGGTGGCTGCATGTGACAACAGCCCTGTGTGAACCATACACCCAAACGCCCCTGTAATTATTCCCTGACTCTGCCTGCTCACATTATGCAGCAACCCGCTGCCATATAGCCCCAGAACTCTGGGATCCATGCCAGCCCACCACCAAAGTTGGTCTGCAAAATGCCAGCCCATGACCAAGGTCGGTGCAAGCCAAAAATGAAAACTTGGTTTGCTACAGGTTTCAGAATACAAATGCTATTTAAGGAGGAGTAAAAGGTACTCCATATCTTTTCCTTTGAACAGTTCCTTTGTAACTGTGAACAGAGTTACATTTGGGTCACTGAAGCATTGCCCTGAGATGTTTCCCATTCTCCCCACGCAAAGATTCCGTGTTCCCTTTCTCTGCTGACACTTACTCTGGCAGGACTCCTACTTTCTTTGACTCCTGGACTTCTTCAGGGACTTCTCACGCCTGATGAGAAATGTTTGAAGATGATAACAGATTAGAAATGCATTGTCCCATACTCAAGAGGGAAATTGCTGTGCAACTCTAAAGACAGAACGAGAGAGCTTTAGGGTACAGCAGGTTGTGCAGAGCACTGAAGAATCCCTGCTGCTTGTTGCATATATGTACAGCTGCCACCACCTACATAGCGTGCTCTCTAGAAATCCCCCAAATGTGGTTTCATGTTGTGCATACAGTTATACTCTGGGAGCAAAAAAAAAGCATGGCAAACTCATAGTATGGGAAGTCTGGATTTGGCAGTAAAAAACCAAAAGTATGATAAACAGTACTCCTCATCATAGAGTATCTCAGACTTGCTATACGATGCATTTCATTACAAACCTCTAGAATATGAGTAGTAAAGTAGCGATCTATACTAGATTATTGTGAGCGGATGAGACAGACCTGTGTGTCCTGAATAGAAATATTTCTCCAGGAACAGCACAACAGCTACGCTCTGTTACTTCTGGCACTGCTTGTGTTTTGCAGGCAGCATTTCACAGTGGACTGACTTGCGTATGTCTAAGTGCATGTGTGATTCATCCATCATGTAATTAGGGATGGGAAAGCCATTTTGAGGAAGTGAGCTCGATTCACTCTCTCTCTTGAGTACTTGCTTAAGGTGTTTAAAGATGTTATTTATTTGGGAAGTACAATCGGTACAGACTGCTCTTTGGAGCCTCTCCTCCAAATGCTAGCTATTACAGGTGATTCTTTCATTTTTAATTGTGTGCTTCTTTTCTTAGATCCCCATTTCTGCCCTGGTGTCCTTTGTGGAAGCTCTGGAGGTTGGATACAGCAAACACAACCTAATGCATGCTGCCGATGTGACACAAACAGTCCATGACCTCCTTTTCAAGACAGGTGTAGTGGTACGTACAGGAGTTGGCATCCTTAATACGTAATGAAATGGCAGTAGTTTTTGTTCGGTAAGGAGATGATCATTATCCACAGCAGACCCATTTGTGCTGTGGAAAAAAGGTAATTTGCAGTGGCTGTGCTAATGCAAGTAGGCATTTGGGATCACGTAGAAGAATTTGGGTGAGGATATGGGTAACTGTTTTAATTGATGGGAGAGAGGATGAGTGAAAAACGCAAGCTGAATTCTCCCCTCTACCATCAATCTCCTGGCTGAGTCTAGCAAGTCAGTTTGTTGGGATTTCATTTCCCTTTCTGTGAAGAAACAAATTGTCTAAGCTTTCTTCAGAATACAAAATGAAGTAATTTATTGCTTAACTCAGTTTGGCACCCCTTTTTAAGCTATTGCTCACCATTTTCTCTTGCTGTCCAGTCTCCTTGGGCGCTGTCTCCTGAGCGCACGTGGAAGTGGATCCACCTCCATCGGCTCCACTTTCCATCTCCTCCCCATGAGCCTCTTCTTCTTCTGGGGAGGAGGATCCATGTGTGTGAGGTGCCTCCTCGCCTCTTGCTGTTGGTATGGCAGTTGGAGGGCTTGGAACAGTAGGCAGTGACATGAGCAGTGTTCCATGGCAACCCAAAAACGAGAGTTTTTGGAGTTGGGGCCTATGGCCTGAGAGTTGCCCCTGTTTTGAAGGAGAAGGAAGGACATGGAGAACTGAAGGACTCTATCCTGGGAAGGGCTCATCTGTTGTATTGTGCTCGCCAGAGAGAATTTGTGGCACTTGGGCAAAAGGCCCCGTGGAGACTCCCTTTCTTCATCCCGTGCCTCAAATCCATTTGTACTGATGAGTGGCAGGTAGAGAGTCCTCTTCCTGGCAGCAGCTGGGTTCCTGCAAGTGGAGGCCAACAGTACTGTTGCCCAACAGTAGTGGAGAGGGGACAGACACTCCTCAGGAAGCCTAGGGACATGCAGTCAATAAAGAACTGCTGAATTTCAAGGGTGATGTGAGTTCTCTTTTCCTGACCTTCCCTCTTGCCCTGTAGCCTAGGAGCGCTAAAGGTAATCCCAAAGAGAAGGTGATGGTGGGAGAAGGCTGGGATGCTTGTACAAAGCATCAGGGTAACACTGTGACGTTTTACATGGGGAAGGGAGTGTTATATCCAACTACACACAGAATCAAAACCAGCTGTTTTCAACAAATCAGTAGAAATGGCTTGAGCAGATTCGTTTGTCCTCACCTTTGTTGGTGGTACATTGGTTGCAGCAGTTCTTCAAAGACACTGCGAGTTACAAGCAGGTGACTGGCTACTGTAAACAGATGGGCCAGAGGTAGTAACTGAAAAGGAACACCAAGTAAAGAGTTTACATCCAGTTTTATTTCTGACTTGAATGAACATTCCCCAGAGATCAGTTTTACTCATTCATCTCAGAACACTGCAGAAAGGTTTTAATAACTCTTATTCTCTTTAGCTAAACGGTCAATTAAAAAATTCAGCATCAACTTACCCTTCAAAGAAGCTTCAGGAAGATTTTGTGCTCTGATAACCACCTGACACAGTATCAGTTCCATAGCATTCAGCAGGCCAGTGATGAGATGGCACACTTACACTGCAACTGTTAAATTTCATTTCCCGTATTTCATTCTATTAAAGATAGGGTTTCAATTAAGAGAATGCGAACATATTAAATATAGGTATTTGCAGAAAACCTAAGGAATGATTCCTACGCTCCTTTGCTATTTAAAAGCACTTTCAAGATCTGAGAAAAAAAAAAAAAAAAAAAAGAGTTCACTGCTACAATAATCCACGATCTGCCCATGCTTTACAAAACCGAGACTGTTCCCTGAAGCTACAAATAAACCCAGAACCAAGATGACAACAGCTAAGCTGAAGAAAGCACAACTTTCTGCACACACAATCCTCAGCATTACTTCCTATATCTGAGTACCAAATTAGAGTTCGTAGGCAACAAAGTTTTACTCTTGCCCTGAAATTAAGCAGATGTTTATAGCATCTGCTTGTAAGTGAAGCTAAGTTCAATGCTTGGATCACAAAGTACTTACCAGAACAAAAAGATCAACTGTTCTGCACTGAATATAGTGACAAAAGTTGTTTACCTTTAAAGCTTCCATTTGCTGACACAGCTTTTGAAGTAAGGACTTGTGATCTTCTGCCCACTGAGGGAGAGCCTTAGAAAAGAAGAAAAGCTTATTGAACTTTGATTTTCTTATACAAACATAACACTTCCCTAAAAGAGTAACCGGCTAATATACCTGGTACGTATTAGTTGGTGAG